GGGGGAGAGTAACCAAAAACAAGAATCCCCATTATCTCACCTCTTGTCTTACTCTTCTCCTATCACGCCGTGGAGATGGAGTGTTCCAGATGGGAGATACACAGAGGGGTAGAAGGTGGGCATTGAGGTGTGGGAGCGTCTGCTAGGCCCAACTTCACCAGGATTTCTTGCCCCTCAAGAGGAGTCATAGCCGTATATGTGCTGCCATTGTGTTGAATAATCAACTTAAAGGGAAAGCCCCATTTGTAGCAAATTTGAGCCGAAGATAAGGCAGACGTGATCTCCCGCATTTTTCAGCATTTCTTCAATGTGGCTTGAGAGACATCCAGAAAAATTTGCAGAGTTGAGCCCTCCAAGGATATCACAGGAGTATTGCAAGCAGCTCTAAGAATCTCTTCTTTAATCAGGAAATCTTTCATGCACAGATTAATATCACGAGGAGTTTTATCAATAGGAGGTATTGGACGCAGTGCTCTATGTATATGGTCACATGTGAAGGCCTTAGTGTCCTGGTCTGGAAGAAGAGACTTGAATAACTTAGTTATAGCATGTGAAAGATCCGTCACTGTCGCCAGAAAGAACAACAATCACATAGTCAGTCCACTTTGCATGCAGACTGAAACCAGGCAATAACCAGGCAAAGGGTCAGTTCAGGCAGTAGCAGAGATGTGGTCAGTATACAGGGAAAGAGTTGGTTCAGACACCATCAGAAATGTGGCCATAAAACAGGCAAAGTGTTGATATATGGAAAATCAGATAGAGGTAAATGGCAGCTAGAAAAGCACATGAAAAATCCTATAACAAATGTTGAGTGCAGTGTCAGTAAGGCTAAAATCCTGAGTCTGGAAATAAAGGACCAATTAGGCTATGGCTGAATTACTATGCTGCTCTTTTTGTTATTGATACAATTAGAGATGAGCGAAGTATTCAAAAATTCGATTCGGCTGATTCGGCGAATTCGAGGAATAAATTTGATTTGAGGCGAATATATTCGCTGCGAATTTAACTTATAAAAAGGGTGTTTCTAGGCTTCAGAGAGCCTTTATATTAGTGCAGAACACTCTACCTTTAATTTAAATGCCCTTGGAGTCTGCTGGGGAAGAGAAATAATACTGTCAGTCAGTATGACATGCAGATGAGTGCCGTCGATCTTAGAATCACCGCACACTTCACTCATTTGGGCAGTCACGGGGCCAAAACCAGAGAGTGGAGCCACAGTGTGGCGGTGGAGGCAGCAGCAATGGGAGGTCATACAGCACCCTATGACAAAATGGAACCCACCAGCAGTGTGAGGAGACCTGAAAGTGGCACATGGCAGAGTGTGGCGATGGAGACAGCAGCAATGGGAGGCCGTACAGGGACCCATGAGACACTCTGGACCTGGCAGCAGCATGAGGAGGCGGTGCAGGGGTCCATGACAGATTACGGGCCTGGCAGCAGCATGAGGAGTCGGTACGGGGGCCCATGGCAGATTACGGGCCTGGCAGCAGCAATGGGAGGCCCGTAATCTGCCAGCACCCTATGACAAAATGGAACCCACCAGCAGTGTGAGGAGACCTGAAAGTGGCACATGGCAGAGTGTGGCGATGGAGACAGCAGCAATGGGAGGCCGTACAGGGACCCATGAGACAATCTGGACCTGGCAGCAGCATGAGGAGTCGGTACGGGGGCCCATGGCAGATTACGGGCCTGGCAGCAGCAATGGGAGGCCCGTAAACTGCCAGCACCCTATGACAAAATGGAACCCACCAGCAGTGTGAGGAGACCTGAAAGTGGCACATGGGAGAGTGTGGCGATGGAGACAGCAGCAATGGGAGGCCGTACAGGGACCCATGAGATACTCTGGACCTGGCAGCAGCATGAGCAGGCGGTATGGGGGCCCATGGCAGATTACGGGCCTGGCAGCAGCAATGGGAGGCCCGTAATCTGCCAGCACCCTATGACAAAATGGAACCCACCAGCAGTGTGAGGAGACCTGAAAGTGGCACATGGCAGAGTGTGGCGATGGAGACAGCAGCAATGGGAGGCCGTACAGGGACCCATGAGACACTCTGGACCTGGCAGCAGCATGAGGAGGCGGTACAGGGGCCCATGGCAGATTAACGGGCCTGGCAGCAGCAATGGGAGCCCGTAATCTGCCAGCACCCTATGACAAAATGGAACCCACCAGCAGTGTGAGGAGACCTGAAAGTGGCACATGGCAGAGTGTGGCGATGGAGACAGCAGCAATGGGAGGCCGTACAGGGACCCATGAGACACTCTGGACCTGGCAGCAGCATGAGGAGGCGGTACAGGGGCCCATGGCAGATTACGGGCCTGGCAGCAGCAATGGGAGGCCCGTAATCTGCCAGCACCCTATGACAAAATGGAACCCACCAGCAGTGTGAGGAGACCTGAAAGTGGCACATGGCAGAGTGTGGCGATGGTGAGACAGCAGCAATGGGAGGCCGTACAGGGACCCATGAGACACTCTGGACCTGGCAGCAGCATGAGGAGCGGTACGGGGGCCCATGGCAGATTACGGGCCTGGCAGCAGCAATGGGAGGCCCGTAATCTGCCAGCACCCTATGACAAAATGGAACCCACCAGCAGTGTGAGGAGACCTGAAAGTGGCACATGGCAGAGTGTGGCGATGGAGACAGCAGCAATGGGAGGCCGTACAGGGACCCATGAGACACTCTGGACCTGGCAGCAGCATGAGGCAGCAGCATGAGGAGGCGGTACGGGGGCCCATGGCAGATTACGGGGCCTGGCAGCAGCAATGGGAGGCCCGTAATCTGCCAGCACCCTATGACAAAATGGAACCCACCAGCAGTGTGAGGAGACCTGAAAGTGGCACATGGCAGACATGGAGACAGCAGCAATGGGAGGCCGTACAGGGACCCATGAGACACACTCTGGACCTGGCAGCAGCATGGGAGGCGGTACAGGGACCCATGACTCTGGATTACGGGCCTGGCAGCAGCATGAGGAGGCGGGTACGGGGGCCCATGGCAGATTACGGGCCTGGCAGCAGCAATGGGAGGCCCGTAATCTGCCAGCACCTATGACAAAATGGAACCCACCAGCAGTGTGAGGAGACCTGAAAGTGGCACATGGCAGAGTGTGGCGATGGAGACAGCAGCAATGGGAGGCCGTACAGGGACCCATGAGACACTCTGGACCTGGCAGCAGCATGAGGAGGCGGTACAGGGGCCCATGGCAGATTACGGGCCTGGCAGCAGCAATGGGAGGCCCGTAATCTGCCAGCACCCTATGACAAAATGGAACCCACCAGCAGTGTGAGGAGACCTGAAAGTGGCACATGGCAGAGTGTGGCGATGGAGACAGCAGCAATGGGAGGCCGTACAGGGACCCATGAGACACTCTGGACCTGGCAGCAGCATGAGGAGGCGGTACGGGGGCCCATGGCAGATTACGGGCCTGGCAGCAGCAATGGGAGGCCCGTAATCTGCCAGCACCCTATGACAAAATGGAACCCACCAGCAGTGTGAGGAGACCTGAAAGTGGCACATGGCAGAGTGTGGCGATGGAGACAGCAGCAATGGGAGGCCGTACAGGGACCCATGAGACACACTCTGGACCTGGGCAGCAGCATGAGGAGGCGGTACGGGGGCCCATGGCAGATTACGGGCCCTGGCAGCAGCAATGGGAGGCCCGTAATCTGCCAGCACCCTATGACAAAATGGAACCCACCAGCAGTGTGAGGAGACCTGAAAGTGGCACATGGCAGAGTGTGGCGATGGAGACAGCAGCAATGGGAGGCCGTACAGGGACCCATGAGACACTCTGGACCTGGCAGCAGCATGAGGAGGCGGTACAGGGGCCCATGACAGGGGCCCATGGCAGATTACGGGCCTGGCAGCAGCAATGGGAGGCCCGTAATCTGCCAGCACCCTATGACAAAATGGAACCCACCAGCAGTGTGAGGAGACCTGAAAGTGGCACATGGCAGAGTGTGGCGATGGAGACAGCAGCAATGGGAGGCCGTACAGGGACCCATGAGACACACTCTGGACCTGGCAGCAGCATGAGGAGGCGGTACGGGGGGCCCATGGCAGATTACGGGCCTGGCAGCAGCAATGGGAGGCCCGTAATCTGCCAGCACCCTATGACAAAATGGAACCCACCAGCAGTGTGAGGAGACCTGAAAGTGGCACATGGCAGAGTGTGGCGATGGAGACAGCAGCAATGGGAGGCCGTACAGGGACCCATGAGACACTCTGGACCTGGCAGCAGCATGAGGAGGCGGTACGGGGGCCCATGGCAGATTACGGGCCTGGCAGCAGCAATGGGAGGCCCGTAATCTGCCAGCACCCTATGACAAAATGGAACCCACCAGCAGTGTGAGGAGACCTGAAAGTGGCACATGGCAGAGTGTGGCGATGGAGACAGCAGCAATGGGAGGCCGTACAGGGACCCATGAGACACTCTGGACCTGGCAGCAGCATGAGGAGGCGGTACGGGGGCCCATGGCAGATTACGGGCCTGGCAGCAGCAATGGGAGGCCCGTAATCTGCCAGCACCCTATGACAAAATGGAACCCACCCAGCAGTGTGAGGAGACCTGAAAGTGGCACATGGCAGAGTGTGGCGATGGAGACAGCAGCAATGGGAGGCCGTACAGGGACCCATGAGACACTCTGGACCTGGCACAGCATGGAGGGCGGTACAGGGGCCATGCAGAATGACGGGACCTGGCAGCAGCATGAGGAGGCGGTACGGGGGCCCATGGCAGATTACGGGCCTGGCAGCAGCAATGGGAGGCCCGTAATCTGCCAGCACCCTATGACAAAATGGAACACACCAGCAGTGTGAGGAGACCTGAAAGTGGCACATGGCAGAGTGTGGCGATGGAGACAGCAGCAATGGGAGGCCGTACAGGGACCCATGAGACACTCTGGACCTGGCAGCAGCATGAGGAGGCGGTACGGGGGCCCATGGCAGATTACGGGCCTGGCAGCAGCAATGGGAGGCCCGCGTAATCTGCCAGCACCCTATGACAAAAAATGGGAACCCACCAGCAGTGTGAGGAGACCTGAAAGTGGCACATGGCAGAGTGTGGCGATGGAGACAGCAGCAATGGGAGGCCGTTCAGGGACCCATGAGAGACTCTGGACTTGGCAGCAGCATGAGGAGGGTCGTTACAGGGGCCCATGCATATTACGGGCCTGGCAGCAGCAATGGAGGCCCGTAATCTGTCAGCACGTCCTATGACATAAATGGACTAACACGCCAGCAGTGTGAGCAGAGTACCCTGAAAGTGGCCACATGCAACAAGTGTGTGCGCTATGGAGCCCGCAGCAATGGGGGAGGACCGTACCAGGATCCCATGAGATGACCTACGGGCCTGGCAGCAGCATGAGGACGTTACAGGGCCCATAATAGCAGATTCACTGGGCCTGGCATGCAGCAATGGGAGCCCTAATCTGCCAGCACCCTATGAACAAATATGGAACACCCACCAGCAGTGTGAGAGAGTCTTGAAAGTTGGCACATGCAGCGTGTTGGCGATGGAGGCAGCACAATGGGAGGGCCGTACAGGGAACCCATGAGACTCGGACTCCTGGTAACCTGGACAAGCAGCATGAGAGGCGGTACAGGGGCCCATGGCAGATTGAGAACGGGCCCTGGCAGCAGCAATGGGAGGCCCGTAAATCTGCCACAACCCTAATGACCAAAATGGAACACACCAGAGAGATCCAGGCCTTGTACAGGGACCATGAGAGACTCTGGACCCCCCAAGCAACTGATGAGGAGTGGTTTGTATTGCTTGTGAGTTTGGGGTTTGTTGAATGGCAGATTACGGGCCCCCCTATCAGCACAATGGGAGGCCCGTAATCCTGCCAGCACCCGATGACAATTTTGAACCCACAAATGCAAGATTATGTGAGGAGCAAGCTTAAGAAAGTGGTCTACTAAATGACACACTGTGGCGATGTAATTTTATAGCAATGGGAATGCACGTAACAGGGACCCATTTTATTATGAGACCTCTGGCCATTGGCATAGATCATGATGAGGTCGGTAAAACGTAGGGGCCCAAGGCTGTTCTACGGGCTAGGCAGCAGTCCTGTGGTAGGCCCGTAATCTGCCAGACACTATGTCATGAAGTTGATGTACAAACTACTCAGCAGAAATCTGTGAGCGACAGTGTGAGGTGGAAGTTGAATAGGTTGGTCAACATGTTGGCCTAGAGTGTGGCGATGGTCTTGTGTTCAGCAGGTTTGTGGCGGATGGAAGTTGGACAGCCGAAGCAGATAATGGTTTGTGCGACCAGCACTCGGGACAATGAGGAGGCACGTACCAGGGGACCTTGGCATCAGTATTAAAGGGTCCTGGCATGCAGCTGTCAATGGGACATGTTCGTAATCTGGCCAGCATCCAATGGAAGTAGTCTTGTGTTCCTGTGTAGCACTTCCGGTTTTCAGTGTGTTCTTGAGACCTGAATTCTTGGACACATGCCAGTGTAGCAGTGCGATGGAGACAAGCAGGTTTATGGGAGCCGTACGTTACCCATGAAGACTCTGGACCTGGCAGCAGCATGAGAAGAAGAGAGTGCGTACCGACGCGGCCCATGGCAGATTACGGGCCTGCAGCAGCAATGGGAGGCCCTAATCTGCCAAGCACCAGTAGACAAAATGGAACACACCAGCAGTGTGAGGAACCTGAATAGTGGCACATGGCCAGAGTTTGTGGCGATGGAGACAGCAGCAATGGAGCCGTACCGGGACCCATGAGAGACTCTGGGCCTGGCAGCAGCATGATTACAGGCGGTACAGGGGGCCCATGGGCAGATTACGGGCCTAGCAGCCAGCAATGGGAGGGCCCCGTAAATCTTGTCCAGTCATGCCCTATCTATGAACAAATGTTGGAACACAATACGACGTCCGCCGGGGCCGCACACCAGCAGTGTTGTTGAGGCAGACCCTGAATAGTGGCACATCATGGCTTAGTGTGGCAGATGGATGGCAGTTACAATTGGAGGCCGTGTATGTGGACCCTGAGAGACCTTAGGACCTGGCAGCATGCATATGTAGCGGTACGGGGCCCAGACAGTTTTAACATGGGATCCCTGTTGCAGCAGACAATCTGAAGACCGTTTCATCTGCCTTTGGCACTCCTATGACATTGATGAACACACCCAGCAGTGTCGAGCGAGACCTGAAAGGCGGCCTCACATGGTAAGAGTACGGGTCCTTTTCGGCATAACAGCACAGCAAATGGCGTTTTGGCCGTACAGGGACCCGTAATGAAGACCTCTGGTTCACCTGGCCACCCTTCTATGACAATAATTGTGTACATCACCATGTAGCAGAAGTGTGGCAGGATATACGGACCTGAAGTGCAGCAACAATGGTGCAGTTGCCCGTTAATCTGCCAGCACAACCGTATGATGATACTTATGGATACACACGAGCAATTGTAGAAGACCCTGAAAGGGATGGCAGCATGGGGTTCTGGCGATGGAGCAGGCAGCAATGTACAGAGACCGTCTATGAAGATCGACTGTGGAGACTCTGAGGTGCTTGCTTAGCATCAGGCATGTGAGCTGCCGGGAGTGCGTTATCAAGGGGCCCATGGCAGAGATTACGGAGCTCCTCTTGGCTTTCTTAGCTAGGCAATGCTTGTAGGCTCGTAAAATCTGCTCAGCACCCCTATGAACTAAATGGAAAACACTCTATGTAGCTGTTAGGAACTGAAAGTGCACATGGCAGAGTGTGGCGATCCTGGAGGCAGCAGCCCTATGTGGAGGCCCGTAGATGGTGATCCATGAGCAGATGGAACTGTGGCTCCTGGCAGCAGTATTATTTTGAGGCCGGTAACGGGGAGCCACATGGCAACTTTACGGTGTATTGGGCAGCAGGCAAATGGAATGTCCCGTAATCTGCCAGCACCTCTATGACAAAGTTGGAACACACCTATGCAGCAGTGAGGAGACCTGAAAGTGGCACTATGGCAGCGTGTAGCATGGAGGCATGCAGCAATGTGATTTCGGCCGTACAGGAACCGGTGAAGACTCTCCGGGGCCCCATGGCAGCAGTATGAGGACGCGGTACAGGGGCCCATGGGCAGATACGGCGTTGGCAATGCAGTCATTCAGAGGCCCGTAATCCTGCCAGGCATTCCCATGACTTTTTTAAGGAACTGGGGTTTCACCACAGTGTGGAGGAGACCTGAAGTGTTGCACATGGCAGAGGTGTGCGAGGGAGACCGCAGCAAATGGGAGGCCGTACAGGGGACCTATGAGAGACCCTGTAACACTGCAGTCAGTCATGTGTTAGGAGTCTTCGTACAGAGGGCCCATGGCCGATTATGAGGCCTGGACCTGCAGCTGAAATGGTGGCCCCATAATTCTGCCAGCACCCTATGACAAAATGGAACGTTGACCAGCAGTGTGATGGAGACCTTGGCAATGGGGATGGCTCTTCTGTTCCGTAGTAGTGGCGATGGAGGACATGGCAGCAATGGAGGCCGTACAGGACCTCATGAGAGACTCTTGGCCTAGCAGCAGCATGAGGAGACTGGCTACGGCGGTGCCCATGTGCAGTTTTTACGGGCCTGGCAGTCAGCAATGGCAGGCCCGATTATCCTGCCAGCACGGGCCTATGTGCAAAATGGAACCTCACCAGCATATGTGTTTTTAGATCTGATAAGTCTGCACATGGCAGACCCTGTGGCGATCTCTTATAAATGGAAGCACACCCTGCAGTGTGAAGGTACAGGAGACCCATGAGAGATAACGTGGCCATCTATGGCCGCAGAGTGATGTGGCGGTACAGGGGGCGCATGATCACATTAGCTGGCCTTTCAGCAGCAATGTGTATGGCCCGTAATCTGCCATGCAAACCCTATGACAAAATTGGAAAACCCTCAGCCGTGACAGGGTCCCAGTTAGACACTCTGGATCACTGGCAGTCGAGTCTTTCTTTTGAGTTAGCAGCAATGGGGAGCCCGTATGCAGGGACCCATGAGCACTGGTGTGGACCTTTTATTGCAGTTTTATGGTTAGGTGGAGTACAGGGGCCCATGGCAGATTAAGGGCCTGGCTAAGCAGCCCTGGATCCCTTAGCAGCATATGGGAGGGCCGCTAATTGCCAAGCCCCTATTGACAAAATGGAAACACACCAGCAGTGTTGTTTGTGAGGATCTGGAGTAAGGCCGTACAGGGACCCTGACACTCTGGACCTGGGAGCAGCATGAGGAGGCGGGGCAGGGGCCCCCTACAGATTACGGGCCGCAAGCAGCATGAGGGGTCGGGACGGGGGCCCATTGCAAAAACGGGCCCCGGCAGCAGCAAAGGGGGGCCCGTAAACTGCCACACCCCATGACAAAATGGGAACCCCCCCCGCAGTTTTGAGGGGAAATGAAAAATGGGACATGGCCAGAGTGTGGCGTGGAGACAGAGCAATGGGAGGCCTTACAGGGACCCCTGAGACACCTGGACCCGGCGCAGAAGAGGGGGCGGTAAGGGGCCCATGGAAGGGTGGCGAAGCGTAATCAAAAAATTGAAGGCCATACAGAGGCCATGTTAAAAATAAAAGATGTTTGGGGCATGATTCATGGCGGATTTTTGTCAGTTTTTGTCAGGGAACTGGTGGTTTTTAAATCAAACTAATCCACGCCTGATTCATTTTCACAAAAAGTGAGTCTCTCCACACTTTGGGGGGACATCGTGTCCTCCGGGATTACAATACCTCCTGCCCCCACTAAACACGCCCCCCCGAGCCCCTATGGCCGGGCATGACGCCTTTCAAAGGGGAAAATTTTAGCTAGTTTGGGGCCAAGGTCAAAATTTTTTTGCCCCGTATCAAGGGGATTGTCTACCCCGGTTGGCGGTGTGTCCAATAGGCCCCCAAACCCCGTTGTTTGGGTCCCCGCTCCAGGTCCACCCGCTGCTGCTGCTGCTGCTGCCGCGGGGTTAGTAGTTTCCCACTGCGCTGGTGAAAAAGTTACTATCAAACGCTGCAGACTGAGGCAGCCGTGCTTGGGGGAGCTGCCCCTGCTCCCACCACCCCCCACCCCCTCCCCCCGTGCCCGGCGCGGAACCACGCACAGGGCCACATTTTCTAGGATGGAGTTGGCGCAAAAAGGCCAGACCCAAATGATACATAGGGGGTTTTTTTATAGTACGTTATTTGGCCCCCCAAACAGGTGTGAAAAAGGCCACCAATTTTTTAAAAAGGTAGTGAGGGGGCCCAAACCAAGGGGGACAGCCCCAAAATCATCCCTCTTCTGATGGTTATTATTGGCTGTCGCAAAAGCAAGCAACCGAGCCCCTGCTATGGGCCCCTTTGTGCCAAGGAATGCGAGGGGACCCCCCCTCCATTCCACAGCATACTGC